GTATTCTGGAAGGATGCGATCAGATGGGTCAATGGATTTTCTTCATCCAAACCTCCAGTGATCTCTTGTGATCTCCAGACAGGTCAAACAAATGTGCAAATTGTGAGGATGGATTGCCACGACTAACATAAAAACTAAAAACAATCCTTGCATTTGATGTAACGCCTTTCACATTGGGAGGCCTTCTCAAAGTTGTTCACAGGATTTACTGTAAAGCGTAGTGACTGTAGTTTTGTAGGCAAATGAGACTTTTTTATTAGATGCAGGATGGCGAGAGCCAAGACTTGGGGACTCCAGAGTGTGTGTAGGGAACACGCTGCAGGCCAGCAGTGACATCGAGTCAAGTGATGTCATGGGTAGATCTCATCACATCTGTGTATATGGACATTATTGTTCCGCTGTAATTACCACAGGAACATATGTGGTTGAATGCAGGCTTTTCTATAGCAATGCAGTGGAAGGGAGTTTAAGCAGTCATTTTTTTCTCACACACACTGAAGGAGTGCAAATAGGGATTATGATAGGTGAACACGACAGCCCACAGTACAAGTGTCATTACATTTGCAATTATTTACATAGCAAAAGAGTGGATCATTTATCTTACCAGCCTGCTCGCCTCTCTGGGCATTGGAACACAACACTGCTGTTAAATTATGATGGATTCAAGTGAGACCCAGAAGATCAATGTGCGAGGGATCAATCGTCTCAGGATCCAGGGACTCTGACATGGTTCTGAATTTCAATGGTGCTTTAGAAAAAGGCGACAACCTTGATGAGGTTTTGAAATGGCATAACTTCAGCAGTGGCTGTTAGTCAGTGGTACACTTCCATTCTGATTGTGAATCCAGTCCTATTTCAATGCTGATCCAATCGCTTTTTTGCTCCTAACACATTGGAGACTCACAGTTCAGACTTATACTCCAGTGCAATACTGAAAGAGCAGCTGCATTGTCAAAGCTGCCGTCCTTTGAATGAAGCACTAACTAACTAAGCACTAAATAATGCACATTAAAGACCTCCGTAGCACTATCAATCTGAATAATTTTCCAGTGTCTTTGCCAAATATATGCCAGTAAACAATTGCTCATTTACATAAAGGCTAAGTGTAGGGTCTTGTTATACGCAAAATAGCTGCAAGGTTCAGCTATAAAATTTGTTAAACTCCTTTCTAGTGCAGTTAATGGACAACGGAGGTAATATGTTTTTTAGTAAACTTTGCCTGGCATGTCATCTGTCAATTTTGATTCCTCATTTGGTCTGTGGGCAGCCTGTTGGACCGAAGGGTTTAAGTGCCAAGCTGGCTGGAAGCACCACAGCTGGGATCCAGCCATGGAATACCAAACGGGATCTGGAAATGTTTGAGCCCTTCCATGTAGATCTTTAGGGGCTGGCTGATTGATTCTGATGCACTTTAAATCTGTTATAGAATTGCATTCTGTCAAACTGTCATCCATCTTTAACGTCCATTGCCATTGCTTCCCTATAACTATGCAACATTACTTTGCTTTGAGTTAAAGCCCCGAGCGCATGCACACACACATTGTTCAACCTGGAGATTGTAGATCCTGCAAACCGGTAGTCCAGCAACAAAATACACATCTTTTGCTAGCATTTTGTCAATGGATTTAGATCTTTTTTTTGTTGAAAGCTTTTCTGTTAAGGAACAATTTCTGAACTCGCTTTAAATGGCAGAAAACGCTGGAGCCAATATCAAGCTGGCATCAGATTGTTAACGCTCTTGCAACAAAGCTGCACAAATCAGAGCGCGTGGAAGAGGATGTAAAATTGATTGAAGGAGGCAGTGGAGGAGCACCACATCAGTCACGTCTTAAGATGAAGCTGCTCTTGGCAATCGATGTCTTCTCTCCCTCCTCCACATACCATCTGCATGTTAATCTCTTCGTAAAGTTGTTGACAAGCATTTAGCCTAAAATGGACAGTGCAGTATTTTTTTAATTCCCAAGCATAATGCATTTGCTCACCTCCTTGTTAAGCAAATAGTGTTCAGGATTTCAGTAAATCCTTTCTAACAGCTGTATTCCTCGCTAGTATTATTGTTATGCTCTCAGGCTTATTGCTGTCTGATAATATCTTACAGCCATAAGCACACTTTCTGTTCTCAGCTCTGGCTTCCATTTCACTTCCTCCAGTTCATTTTGATCGTATCCATTTTCTCGTGCACTTAGAGGTTTTGTGCAGAGCCTTTGTCTAAAACAGTCTGATCCCAAAGCTGAGCCCTCGCATCCACATTAAGTAATGAAGAAAACGGCTTCCAAATTAGGACACAATTTTGTAAAATCATACATTTGAAGACAAAATGGTCTCACAGGCTAAGACCAGGTGAAATTACAGGCCTAATGTTTGGCTCACCCAGAATTGAGCCTAAGATTTTTATTGAGACTGGACATGTGATCAATTGCAATAATACATGAGTCAAAACTCATTCCTTCAAGAAAGATCTTGGGTCAGACACACATCCAGCCCACAGCAAGCCAGCTCACCAACCAGTCATCCTCTCGTACACTTCAGTCAGAATAATTCCTGACCATTTCTGCCCTGGGATCAATGAGCACTGCCTTGTATTATTTTACCCACCAGTTATTAGGTTCAGGGATGTGATACGTGAAACAGCCTGATGTGGCTCAAATGTCCCCGGTTGGGGCAGTGACCAAATTACATCACATCTGTCACAGGCACAGAGCTTGTCATCTGCCACAGCCATCAACTGTTGCAAAGGCAATTCTGAGCAATGATACTGAGTGTCCGGATTATTTACCGTCATCTGTTTCCTTGCTTGCAATCAATTAACTCCAGTGCTCTAATAAATGGCCCAAAGTTATTATAAAATGTCGCTGAAATAGAATCAGACTGTAGGCTCGAGCTCCACAATAACATATCTCTGCTACCAGCCAAAGTCTCTATTGTGGACATTACAAGATGAGATTGACCCTCCAGGACACAGTAGAAGCTGCCACAGATGTGGTGGAGAGCCCAAGAAGAACCAGACAGCCCCCCCTCTCTCCCTCCTTTACTATTGGTAATTGAAGTTGACTGTAGGGCTGCCATCAATGGCAATTTCGTCTCACATGACAAATCTTGCATTTGATACAGCAATTCTTCCTGGGTTGAGATTTACTCTGTGTCCCATTTTGTTGGCCAAAGACACTGGGAGGCAAAAGATGCAGGAAAATGTGGTCAGCCGTTAGCCCTCCCTACTCATTCTGGACCGCAGTTATCATTATTTGACTGGTGGATATAATCCTAAATAATCCTTTAATGCATGCTTAATGGGTTAATTATTTTAACATGCTCAGCCATTTGGGCGTTACATACACAACAATTTATACTGAATGCTTGGAGGCAGTGTCTGTCTGGAGTCTCTAATGAATGAGTTTTGCTCCGGCTTATGGAACTCTGGAACCAACGAGAATCGCAAAACAAACACTAAAGAGCTCGGATTTTTCACAGCTCATTTCATTTCACTATATTCGTACTTGACGTTTCTGCGGGAAATGAAATGGGCCGTAAAGAATAAATGAATAGAATCTAAGCTTGAATACAATTGAACATTCAGGCATAAACCTCAGCGATTGCATGAAAATATAAGGCTGTCAAACAAGAGTCAAGGCTATTGATCAAAAGAAAGGCAGGATATACAGCGTTCTGAGCCGCTATCCTGCGTGAAGGGTGTTATATAAATAAATGTTGTAGCTATGGATAAACCACAGCTCTCACGGTTCCCATTTTAACTCTTATTGCCATTCAGGATTTCAATCTACTTCCTTGCCCTTCTCAGCCAGTGCAGCACTGCGGGTGGTCCCTTCACTGGATTATCTGGCTGACAGTAAGTGCTTTGGCAAGATGCGAATGTGGGTTTTGTTGCGCTCACCAGATAAGCACATGGCATTGCTTGAACCAACTGAAATCCTGACCAAAGCATTACATTCCAAGGAAGCAAATGACTCCCCCCACCCACCCTGCCATACGTAAAATTCACGTTAAAAGTCCAGTTTAAATTGTCCGCAAAGAAGCACTTCCAATTTAGCTGCTTCATGTCCCCCGCCCTCTCTGTTTCAATGTGGCTGAGCCTCCTCCACTTTGCCCCGCTCTCTAGAAATGCCTCCTAACATCCCTCCATCTCGCTCCTTCTCTCAATCTCTGATTTCAAAGCATCTAAAACATCTTCTCGTTGACTGGCCCTTTGGCCCTTAGGAGTTTGACACGACTCTGCGACATTTAAATTTGAAAATGAAGTGATTGTAAAGAACTAAAACCAGCTGGAATTTTGGCACTACGTTTCAATCTGAGAGACTCCTGACGTAATCGGTCTGTCCCCTTTCAGTGTTCTCTCTCCCCTATGTAGAAGAAGTGCACTCTCTATGTGTAATGGGCACTTTCCTCACATGCTGCAGGAGTTGCATATTTCCGCACTGTGAGCTGATATCCAAAGTGATTGACTGACAATCCTTGTCTAACTTGCTATCCTGATGTTAATGCAGTATTACTACAGGGAAATGGGTTTCTGTGTCCTCTCAAAGAGACTGGTTCAGCAAAAAAAATAATTCAGTTCAAAGTTTTATAACAGGTTATCAGTTTCCAACTTGCAACAACTTTCTGGATAACTAGCTCCAAGCTTGGGCAGAACATTGCCTGCCCCAGACAAGGGGATTTCAGAAACCTAGTGGAGCAATTGGGGGAGGGAAAGGCAGCAAGAATATAGCATGTAACTCACCTCCTCTTCTGGAGAGATCTTTAACATTTACATTGTGCCAAAGAAATATAAATGAAATTTCATTCTATTTGATAACTTTGTCTGCTCCAGCCTCTGCCTCTCACCCCAGGCAACTAAGCCCCTTTTTCACGCCTTCATCATGCCTTCATACCTTGAGTTGGTCCACTTGTTGCTATCTCAGTAGTCCTGTTCTGAGCCAGGCTAAGTTGCAGTGCTCCGTGGCACTGTTGATGACAAACCAGCCAGCTTGGCTCACTGGCAAGCCTTGGAGGATCAAACCAGTCAAACAGCTGGGGTTCTTCCCACTTAGCTCCTGATAACCCTGCAAACCAAAGCTCTAACAGTTAGGATACTCGCTGGATAAGGAGCAGGGAACTTCAGTGTTTGCATAACAAGTTCAATAATTTCAGTAGTACATTTCATTCTGCACCTATCACTTATACAGAAGGTCATGATTTTAAGTCCTTTATGAAGACCTAAGCTCACAATCTGGCCTGATACTCCAATTAAGTATTGGTGGATGTCCCAATGTTGGAGGCATATCTCATTGCTGGCTGAGATGTTAAACTGCCCATTCAAGAAAAGCTTCTTTGAATAGCCTGATCAACAATTCTTCAAATTAATCTATCATTCACCTCATAGCTTGTCTGTGGTTAGTGTTAGCTCAAAATACCTTTCAAAAGCAGTCATTATAAGTGAGCGTAACAGAAACAGAGAGAGCTGGGAAAACTCCGCAGGTCAGGCAGCATCTATAGAACGTGGACCCGAAATGTTGACTCACTTTCCTTTCTCCGTAGATGCTGGCTGACCTGCCGAGTTTTCCCAGCTCCCTCTGTTTTTGTTTCAGATTCCCAGCATCTGCAGTATTTTGTGTTTTGTTCACTATAGGTGAGTGTAATTTATGTAAAATGCTTTGAGACATTTTGATATAAGGCACTATAAAAAGCCAAGTTCTTTCTTTAGTCCTCCAATACTGGTCTCAAGCAGATATTTATTTATCCAATTATGTTATGAAGGAGATAATCGATGCACACAAGATTATCCTAAGGTGTGATCTTTCGCTGCTTTCACAGGGAATTTATGAAATGATCTTACTTGATAAGAAAAGATGTCTAAAAAGGAATGCGATGCTCACCGATGGGGGAGTTCTTTGGCACAGCAGACAACCTGTAAGATAAGTGGAAAAAAATAGGATGTTAACACTGTGAACCACATCACTGTGAGAAAGTATCAAAACAGAAGGCCTGGAGGCGGCGAGTGGCACTGGCAGTCAGTGGGCTCGCTCTGAGTGATGCAGTGCACAAACATACACACTTCAAGGTGTGAGTTCCCCCTCCGCCCGCTCTGTGGACATGATTTCCCCTTCCCGCTTTATAGCATACTGCACAATGCACTCAGACTTTTATAAGAAATCACACAGCCTGATCCTCCAGGTCAATCACTTTGACACAGACAGTGCAATCAGTATTAGCTCTGTATTCCCCTTCCTTGTAAGCTATAGCTTTTTGGCTCAGATGCCACCCATTCCCCAGCACTGTATTAGAGTGAGTGAGACCAGCACTTACACACAAAGTTCTGATCCGTGTTAACGGTAGAGAGGGGTGAACCCATGGCAGCCAAGCGAAGTTGGTAAGAACTCACTGAAATCACTGGGTACCGTATCACCCATATCAATGGAATGAGCGTCATTCACTGAAATCAGTTAAATTGCTGTGCGCAATTGGCTGCCGCGTTCGCCCACAAATATACAGTCAATTCACTTTACAGTGTGTTCTGTGAAGCGCTTTGGGACGTCCTCCTGACGTGAAAAGCGCTATATCAAATGCAAGGATTATTATTATTATTCACTGAAATCAATGATATTCATCCAAATCAATGGAGTCATCAAGATTCACTAAAGAAAATCTGCTCGCCCAAATTAGTGAGACTTGCCAAGATAAATGCAATGTGTTATTATTCCTGCCAGCTGTTCTGCTGGATGTATTAACACACGGTACAATCATGTCTCAATTCAGAGGAACTGTATTGTACCCAAGTTGATAGTGCAGCACAATAGGGATGGATTGGGAGTGTATCAATGTGGCCTCTTGCTTTGTGTGGCTGTAACACATTATCCTCAGGATCAGGTGTGCAGCTTTGCGAATAGTGTACAATAACTCTTATTTAATCTTGTAGCAGTAAGTATCTCTAGCCAATTAAATCCACATCAGTCAGGCTGTGATGTGCCAGTGATTAAGATTAATCCGAGGGGTTGAGTAATGTTGAGCAGCTCTCAATAAGACTCTCTTATCAGTCATTGATGGCAAACTACAGCAGTGCATTTGATCACAAGGTAATGAAACATGAACAAGCAATGTAATAATAATAATCCATGCATTGATACAGCTCCTATAATGTTGAAACGTCTCAAAACACATCACATGGAAAATCATCAACTGTAGTGATGGTGTATTTGTAAACGAACATGACAACCAATTTGTACCACAGTGATGTCCTACAAAGAGTCGTGAAGTGGATAACCAATTTTATCTAGGAATTATTGTCCAGGACACTGGGAGAAAGTCCCTCACCTCTTTAGTAGTGTTATGAGATTTTTCATATCCATCAGAACAGGCAGACTTCTCATCCAAAGAATGTCTCCTCCGACCATGCAGTGCTCTCCCAGCCAAGTCTGTGAGGTCAAGCCCGAAATCACTGTTAAACCATCTCATTAGGGTGTCACTGTAGAGTGAATGGCAACCATTTGAGACCGACACAGAAATCATGTTTTGCCTTCAAAGAAAATACCAGCCTTAATATAGTATTCAGTAACTGCTGAAATGAGCACTCAAGCTGGCATCAAATGATCAATAGGAATCGGTTTGAATGCATTTGAACCATTAACAAACCTGTAGGGAAGATGGGAAGTGTGAAACTGACATGTCAGCAAGGTTTCATGTTCGCTCCCTGCTCTGTGCGAGTTAGTTGATCTCAGTCAGGGTGCTACAATTGGACTCAGTGCCTGTTGGCTGGACAAGGGAAAACTCAGCCAGGGTTCCTACTGTAGATCTCTCTCACCGCTGGGAGGTACTTGTCTTTGATGGTTGGGTGTGGGCTCAGCTGCAATGCCGCTTATGGTTGAACAGCTTGAAATAAACAAAAAATAAAAGAACAGCTTTGATTCCAGACAGGCTGCAAAAATGTCCCTGATCCTTCTTGCTGGTGTCTGCAAACTGCCTTTCCATTGCACTCTTACTTTCTCAGTTAACCTCAACTGTCTTTTAGATGACTCCTGGTTGGTTCTCATTTAACCTGGGTCATCTCAGCTCACTAGGTTGCACTCTTGGCTTTGGGTCCAAAGGTTGTTGGTTCAAACTCCAATGTCCAGCCATCTCTGTTCCTTCAAGGCACAAGTGTGAGCCGTGACCCCATCTCCCCCACTCGCGCCCGATTCCATTGGTTCCCTATCCTTCAGAGGATCCAGTTCAAAATCCTGGTCCTCACATACAAAGCCCTCCATGGCCTCGCCCCACCCTACCTCTGCCACCTCCTAACCCCCTACCAACCCACCCGCTCCCTCCGCTCAGCCGACTCTGGCTGCTCCACGTCCCCCGACCCACGCGCCCACCATTGGCACTAGAGCTTTCAGCCACTCTGCTCCCAACCTCTGGAATTCCACCCCCCAATCACTCCGCCTCACCCCTTCTTATCCTCCTTTAAGACCCTCCTCTTCGACCATGCCATTGGCCACCCCCCTTCCCCTCCCCTCCCTCCCCCCCGACCCCAGCTCAGGTCTGACATGCTGTCACTGTCCAGGGCCTTGGGACGTCCTCCCGATGTGAAAGGCGCTATACAAATGTAATCTTGTTGTTGTTGTTGTTCATAACCTTAAAATTTAAGTTGACAGCCCAGTGCAGTATTTGATGGAGAAAATACAGCATAGTTGGAGATGCCGTCTTTCAGATCATATGTTGAACCAAAGTCTGAACTGACTGATATTAAAGATCTCATGACCTTACTAGATAAGGGAACTTCTCCCATAGTATCTCAGTCAACAAAATAAGATTTATTAGTCACTCACCTCAAGGCTGGTAGTGAGAACTGGTGTGTGCAAATAGCTGCCATTTCTGCTGATAAGCACAGTCACCACACTAAACTTGATGGGAATTAAGGTGTCAGTCTGACTCAGTTGGTAACGTTCTTGCCCCTGAGTCAGAAGGTTGTGGTTACAAACCCCACTTTGGAACGTGTCTGTGCTGACACTCCAATAGAATGCTGAGGGACTACTTCACGATCAGAGGTACTGACTGACCTTCAGCTGAAACGTTAAACCGAGATCCCTTCTGTTTATTACGTGAATATTAAAAACTTGCTGACGTTATTTGAAAACATGAAAGAATTTCTTCCGGTAGTCTGACCAACAACCTTCCAGATAAATCCGGTCAATCACTTAATGACTGTGTGAGACAAACTGACTGCTTCATTTCCCTCCACAGTCACTACACCTCACAGTAAATCCTTTGAAGCACTTTGAGATGTCTCAATGATGCATTAAGAAGCTACAGTATATCAAATGCAAGGGTTATTATTATTATTCCTCGTGAAGCACTTTGAGGTATTTTGGTACGACAAGGTTCATATTTGTGGCTGTGTGATTTCAAGTGAATCACTGTAAATTGTGAAACTCTTAGCGGATCCTTTAGAACTGCTGCCAATTTTTAACAACTTGTCCACATGACTTAACTTTGCTCACAGATGCTGTGTGCGAACTGTACTCAATGCTGAGACTGTAATGAACGTGAGCAGAAGAACCTTCTCCTGTTTCTTCACCAGGTGGCGCTGGGTCAGTCGCTCGTGGGGCACAATGACATGTGTGTACAACAGAGCTGTGGTGATGTAGACATGCGCTGTCTACAAAGAGCTGGTTACGTGTCTGCGGTTTATGTGATAGTGAAGAGTATTAAACAATCTGTTACCGTCCTGGTCAAAAGCACTTTGTAAATCAGAGTCGGGACTACAAATAGCATTACAGTGTTTGGGTGGATTTTAAAATCTTACACACTTGTTCTCTTTGTCAGCCTGCATTCGGTTGGAATTTAATGGAAGCGAAGAAAAGGTTACCTTGAATGACAAATAATTCAGAAATAGTCACAGCCCTCATTATGTATCAATTATGCCTCGGGCCAAGAGAGAAACAAACGATATGATAAAAGATTTGCAGGCTGTGCTATTGCTATTGCTGTGTTGCTGACAGTCAATACAGACACCACCCTGCTTGGCCAGGTCTGTTGACACTTTACTAACACACCTGTTCGTGGCAGATTGACAGATAGCAGAAAGATTATCATCTCAGGATTGAAAAATTATGCTGGAAAAGGTCAGAATACCTGTCAACTGTGGAGTTTTAAGTAATAATGCATTGAAGGTTGACTGGTTTGAAAGCCTGGTGCACGTCAGCTCATAGATCAATGAGAAGCTCACAGAAAATACCTTTGCTTTTATCCATCTTACTGCTGCCCAGGGCCTTTAGGATTTAATCACGTACAGTTACGTCTTTGGATCCTTGACTTCATGCAAGACCACACGATCGATAGCCCTCCTTCGGCCACCAAGATTTTCATTCCTTCCTTTTGCCAAAGATCTATTGCTGGGAGGCAATCCAATAGTCGCTGCCCCAATTCCCATCTCTGTCAATATCTCTGTCCATTCACAAGACCCTCTGGATGAGAAGAAATGGAAAACGTGATCTTAACATTCAATTCCGAATGTTTGAAAAGCTTCAACTCGAACGCACAACTTTAGAGGATTAAATCATTTGCTATCTCATGTGCAATCCCAGGAACCATACTGCTATCTGCAGATTTGATCTTAGGAACTCCATTTCTCTCATTGTTCTGTGAGGCACAGAGGATGGGGGTGGGGGGGGGGGGGGTTGTTGGGGGAAAGAGGTAAAGTCCATTTCTAAATACCTTTAGAGACATGGAAATTTCACCTGAATCTAAATTTACTGTATTTTTTGATTTTGCCCACAAAATATAGCCAATTCACTTTACAGTATTCTGTGAGGCGCTTTGAGACGCCTCAAAAACCGGATGAGGCGCCATATAAAAGTTACTTTTAAGAAACGCAGAAAACCAACTTCAAAATTAAGATGGAATTCAACAAATTGCCATATTCTGGATTGTCTAAAATACTAAGAGAATAGAGTGAACTTAGACCCCGGTGGGATTTCTCCCCACAGACTTTCTTTCCTAATGCTTAAATTGTCTGTGTGATTTGAATGCTTGTCAAACTTTCCCTTTGTAGCAAATGAATGGGGAAAAGTATTGGCAAAATTCTTTCGATGCCTGTTTAATTGCCTGAAAAACGCATGGAAAACGGCATTGAATGCATCATACTGAATACCCGGCGCCAGGAAAGGGAAAGTGTCTCGAGGCGCTCACCAGCCATGAAAGATTCCTCTAAATAATGTACACTGGAGCCAAAGTAGATTCCAGATGGACAAACATTAAAAATTTACAAACCACAGCCAAAGAAACATGGACTATTGAGCACAGCTTGAATTTTTCTGCTAATCCGATGCTCGGCTATGTCTGAGGCCTTGTACGACAGAGAATTCTATCAAGATAACAAGAAAAACTCACTTCACTTTTTGAGAAGTGGGATTTTAATGACTATCAGTACGGGCAGATGGATCTTAAATGTTCCATCAGAAGTACAGCATCTCTAACAAGGCGTTCCCCCAACACTGGAATGTCAGCCTAGACTATGAGCTCAAAGGTTTAATGTGAGACTTGAACTCACAACCTTCTAACCCAGAGGCAGGAGCCAGATTCATACCCAATAACAATATTCAATTCTGACCAGTTGTGTTTTCCAAATAACAAGAGTTCCATCAGGACTGGAGCAGCACTAATCCTTGGAGCATTCGATCACCAATGTCTACAATGCTCTGACTCTTCAATCCCTTAAAGGCATTCTGCTGTCCTGACAGTTTGAGCTTTTTTTGACATGACCAGACCACTTACACAAACGCAAGGACCTTGTTCTTTACTTGGAAACCAGACAGGTGGACCTCAATTGTCCTTTCCGATTCTGTACCTATCTCACGTAATTCTGTGTGGGTGGAATATAATTCACAGGCTCATCGAGGAGTGCTGTCCCAAGTGTTGTTGTTGAACATTGCCTTTGACTTAATTTAGTAATAAATATTTTATTATTTTGTTAAAACTTTAATGAGTTCTGTCTATTGTCAGCACCCTTCAATTCACACAGCCAGGCACAGATGTTGTGTCTTAGTGATTGCACAGAAAGTGGATGTAACTGCACATAGAATGACTGACCATATGCTTAAGAGAATTAGAGGGCATTTCAGGTCACTGCAGGAAAACAAAGCTTTAAAGATATATCGGAGCAAAGTTTTCCATATTTTTTACCCTGTGTGGAGAGAAATTCAACCTGGGTCTAGATTTACACTATTTATGTTGATTTTAAAGCAACCAGAATTTGGCAAATCTTACCTTTGAAGTTTTAATCCATTATCATACACGTTACTGAACAGCTCGGTTTGGTACCATTACACAGTGACACTCATGCTTGTAAAAGGCTTAGAACCACATTTTCCTGTCAAATGTTTAATTATCAGGGTCTAACCTTATCCCAAATCCATCAATTCCTTTCATAACCAGATATCCTACCAGTTCTTTTTTGACATTAATCAATACAGCATT